CGCTGGCTCCTCTCTCCCGTGGTCAGCAAGGAAGCAGCTCTACCTCCCGTCGGCCCAAACCGTCCTCGGGACAACGATCTTCGCCTACTTGCCGCAAGTGCCAGCGCGTCACTCGCACCCTGGAGACGCGGAGCCCTTCCGAGAGGAGAGCGCGTCCGCTCCGGGAAGGAGCGGCCCAGCCCACGCACCAGTTTGGGTTTGTCCAAGCGCACGGCACCGTGGCTATCGCTGGAGCTCGGCCTGGAAGGGATTCGGTTACCTCCCCTTTCTACCCCGGCTCATCTCTGAGCCTGAAAGAAGCAGGCACCCAGCCAGCTCTTGTTCAGTAAGCGGCTTCCTTGGGAACCTTCCCTGTTGTGACAGCTCAAACATTACAGGGACTGCCAGAACCAAACCACTCAAGGAAGAGATCCCCTCCCCCTTCTGACATTGACAACCGAGGCAGCAGCAGGCAACACCGCGTGCGGGAGTCTATTTAAAATGTCACCGAGCCACAGGCTGATGGAGGACACCAAGGCGTCCTTCCCTCGCCCTGGAGGTGATGCTGGGGTGGGTGGCTTTGCGTTTTTGTTGTTCCTTTCCTGTGGTCTGTGCCTGCTGCAATCTGACAGCCTCTAATCGCTCAGCGTGAACCAGAAACGTCACTCTCATTTGTATTGATGATGGTGCTACTCACAAGCGCGAGAACATACGCAGGCTCAGCCACCCACCCCAAAAGCATGCCCCTAAGCCATCTCACCCCTCAGCTTTAACTTTCAGGTCTTTTCTGTTTCCCTGTCACTTGAAAGCTGCATTTCCTCCTCTCTCCCTCTCCAACTGACACAGCCAATCCACAGGGCAACTTTTATGTTTAAAGGAAAAGCCACCAGTTTCTCAGGGACAAGGGGCACAAGGTGGAAGTGCTCAAAGAGCCAAGTGCAGGTCGTGATGATTTCTCAGCTATGAAATCCACAAAAAAAGCCCACCTTCTCTCCTTGCCAGCCCCGGAGGGGTTCTTGATCAGTCTCAGCTCCTGCGGCAGCAAGGCCTGAACAAGCGACGAGGAGCACAGCAGGCAGAGGACTGAATTCCTCACTGCAACAACAGCAGGCAGTTTTCTGCCATCCTGCTCCCATTTTGCTCAGAGACAGGAGCCATCTTGAGCCCTTTGCAGATCTGTTCCTGGCACTGTGAACAGTTACGTCAGAGAAAAGTGAACTCATCAGTAGGGCTGTGATTGTTCCTCTCCCCACATCCCAGAGCATGTTACTCCTCTCCTTCCTCAACCCAATTCCCTTACCCAAATTACAAATAAACTCATTTTCTGGGTCCTTCTAGCCATTTTCACCCATGATTCAATCACTCGGCTTCCCCTTCCACGCTTCCTCTTTGTCCAACCATTCAGTCCAAGATCTGACCTAATTAGTTGATTGCCAATTCCAGCTGTGGATGCACATTGTTTTGTTTAAAGCAGAGCTGTCTTTTAAAGCGATAATTTATATCACGATTTAAAATGAAGAGGCCTCAAAAAGGTCTTCAGCTGAAAGGTGTCCAACGGGAATTTTTAAGAGAAGAGTTCAAACGGATTCTGAAAATAGCCGACTGGTTTTCTAACTCTTACTTAAGGCCTGGGATTCTGCAGCTTGGAGGGCAGGAAAGTATTTGGGGAGGTTTTGCAGCAGGAGCCCAGAGGAGAAAGTGAGTTTGTGGTATCCTTTAGCAAGGGATCATCTCTGGGTCTCAATGTTGATGTCCAACACACCACGCTGAGTGCGAGACACTTTAAGGCAGTAAGTGCGTTGTTTCTGACAGCGGAAACATCTCAGATCAGTCAGTAACATGGTGACTCAGGCAGGTGACCGTGGGTCTGCCCCACAGCCTAAGCCACCAGGGCTCTGCTCTTCATGGCAAGAGGCTATTTAAGAAGAGGTAAAAGGTAAGGATGGGCTAACTTTCCCCACTCAGCTTTTTGTGCCCCCCGCCCCCAACTCTTGGCTTCAGCAGGGACTCAGCAAGGATTTTACTGATTTTACCAATTTTACCCCCCACCCTGACAAAACATGACTCAGACAAATTAACTCCAGTACAGGAGCACTAATCTTTCTGCAGGATGTATGCGTCGCTTCCCTCTTCCCCAGCAAGCCCCAGGCAGCTGTTCTCATCCTTGCCCCAACGTTTGCAGCTTTAGCTCTAAACCAAGCCGGAGGTGGACGCTGGTCCTGAGCACAGCCCCGGCCCTCACTCCACCGACAGATCCGAGCTCCCACACCTGGATAAGCTAACATCAGCACTAAGTCAGCAGCCACCACGGCTTACAAGCCATGTTTCAGGCTCACCAGCCCCCTTCCCACTCAAGTTTACTGGGGCCGCTATTCTCCACGAAGCAGCACTGTTGAACAGACAACATCCAGCCCAACCAGGCCACCCTCCACCCACCCTTGTCCACCTCCATAGAGGAGAAAGGTAGAACAAAGCCAGAATAATCCCCCAAACAAAATGACACCAAGAAAGAACTAGAACAAAGAATTGTTTAATTGCTTAACCCTTTCTCTTCCAGGGACCAGAGAAACAAGTTTTCTGCTCCTTCTAATGAGGGCAGTAAGGCTTGTGTGTTACCTCTACAACTGCAGGGGCAAAGTTCACGAGATGATCATCTTTAGTACTTGAAAAAGCAAGAAGCAATGGTCATTGTAACACTAAGAGAATCCTAGAGTCTCCTAACGGAAAGCCCATTGCTAGAATACAAAAATATAGGAGGCATCCCTGCATATCCCAGGCTAGAAAGAGTTAACCAGAAAGAGCAGGAAGAAGCTTTCCCAAAGAGAGGGTTGAAGTAAACAGCAGAGGTCAATAAAGCAACATCTTCTCCCTACTTCCCCAGCATGTTTTTTCCTTCACCAATAAATACAAATTCCTCATTAACAAGCGACAAAGCAGGTAATCTGCCCACGACAAGGGGAAAAGGGGCTAGAGGCAGAAAGATTTTTCTCTCCCCTTCTCTCCCATTATTATTTATCTTTTTTTAACCAAAGCAGCCATTAAAAAAGCAATCCACTGCAGAGGCAGGGAATCTTGTAGCGTTCACACTGCAACCGGCAGGTAAAAGAGCTGCACTGTCTCACAAGGGTAAAAACAACAAAAAATAGCTGCCACAGCAAAAGGTGAATGGGGAGGGAGAGGTCTGTTCTTTTCAGAGCTTTCCATCTCAGTCTCTCAGTTTAAAAATCAAAGTCTGCAGGCATTGTCTACTGAAAGCTGAAAAAAAAGTTTGAGTGGGAGGATAAAGGGGGAAAAAAAGAGGATGCATCTAGTAGGAAAGCCTTAAGCAAAAAAAGAAAAGGCCAGACCATGTCAAAAAGCCACCCAAGTGAGAAGAATTTTCTGTTGCCTCTGGGTTTTGAAGAGTGGGGTACACCTGGGGTGGGGGAGCTTGTACAGAACCAAACAGGTAAACTGAGCAAGCAGTCACATCTACCGCGCCGGTACTGCGTGAAAACAAGCAAACGTGCCCTCAGCAGCCAAGTGACAATCTGTCCCAGGAGAACTCTGCTTCAGCAGAAGACGGAGGGCGCGTCTGCCATCGCAGCTCAGCAGAGCACAAGGGCAGCCGGTCGTTTCTGGGTGGTGAGGGGCGTGCTCCCACAAGACTGGGGTCCGCTAAGGCTCGGTTTCACCCACACGTGAAAGAGCAGATGGACATCTTCGTCTGAGGGGCAGAGATCAGATCCCAGACAGCTCCACTGCGATTGCAAGGGGGGCGCGGGGGATCTCTGTGCAGGGAACGGTGTCCTTGGAGAGACGCTGCCAGCTACGAGCCTCTGTGACCTCTCTCCCTCCTGCACAAGGCTCACTCATCTCATAAAGACTGTTCTGGAAGGGAGAGGAAGCCAGTTACCTTGATCAGTCAGCACTGCGCAGTCTCTCTCACCAACGCCTGGCAGCCAGAAGCAGCCAGAGAAGGAAAGGGAGGCCTCTCATCTTTCCACAGCAGGAACAGGAAGACCAGGGATTGCACCACATGGAAGAACAGCCTTAATGCAGCATACACACATGCGCACACGCTCCCAGACACACATCTCACACCCCTGGGACCAAGGCTAGCATGTTCAGACCTTCAGCAGTAAGAGATACGAGACAGCGCAGAGCAGTTAAGATCTCCAGGGGCTCTTTGGTCTTAGTTGATAGTCCTAGAAAAAACAACCTCTTCGGATTCGGTTGTAGCACAGCTGTGTAAGATCTAGTTGATATTTAGTGTTGGCAACTGCAAGAGGGGGAAATGGGGCTGCATGTTACATGAGAGGGGGAGGAATGGAAGTACAGGGCTGCATTTCTAGGTGTACTCCTGGCTTTGCAGCCAGCATGTGGAGAACAGGAAGAGGAGGGAGGGTTCCTGAGAGGACCACTAATCCATCAGATGTTACACCAACAATGAGGCGGAGGAGGCCCACCTTGGCCAAGACAGAGCAGCTGGCTGCACAAAAATGCTGCTGTCTAAAAGCTCGAAACATTGGCTGCAACACATACATGGTGGCAATGTTCTCAGCTCCAGCACAAGTGACATGGAGAGGAGAAGGTGAATACAGCTACACACATTCTGGGCAACAGAGAGAGAAGCTCTGAAAGAGCGCCGTTACCAACCCCTTTCCTCAGTAGCTTTAGCTACGAGAGTCCTAGGCCTCCGATCAAACCTGCTCCCATTGCTGTCATCTTTCTCCATGGGTTAGACCACAGAAGAAAGCATCAGAGCTGGGCAAGCTCATCCTGCTCTGTTGAGCTGCACACACTCAGTGCCTTCACTGATTCACCAACTAAGACAGATGCCCAGGGACAAGACAGGCAATATCCAGTCCTTAATACAACACAGCCACATCTGGTGACAACGTGTTAAGAGATGGAAGCCAGAAGAAAGAAGTTATGGGACAAAACAGGTGTTTCATGGCCAACAACCCTAAACCAGGGGCCTTTAGACAGGCACAAAAGCAGAGTCAAGCTTTCAAGACCAAGATCACTGCAGTAAATTAATTCCATAACCCCTGCCCTAGGTTTGTATTTTATTCAGGAATTTAACACCCCCTCTGCAAATGCATGAATGCAGGCAACATCCCCCTGTACCAGATCATACAGCAGCTCTGGGGAAAAAAAAAAAAAAATCACCAGCTTACACTGCTTACAGACAACTCAAAGACCCCTGTTGGGACTAAATTCCACTAAAGGCAAACCCCCGGACTGCACTGCCATGCTGCTCAGTAGCGTAACGGGAGAAGGAGGAGGTGGTGGCGATGGTTTAAAGAGACAGCTCCTGCCCCTGCCAGCTTGTCCTACTCTGTGCATAGTGCGAACCAGTGCAGTCATTCATCAGAGAAAGTTCAGGACCAAGGAAACTAGGTTCCCTTTCAGCCAAACAATTACGAGGAAGGAGAGGCAGTTCTGTTTTAGCTGGGCCGGCACTGGACTTGCCCCTCTGAGCTGTCTTCATCATCTGAGCCTCCAGCCCCACCACTGGTCAGTCCTGTAATCCGGTAGCCCATGTTCAGCAACATCACCTCCAGCGGGTCTGCATTCATTCGTCTCTGGTTAGCTTGGGAAGCACCTTCCATGTCTACTACCACGCGGCCATTAAGGGTTTCACTCTGCAAGACATGAAGGGAGAGAACTCAGCAAGGCAGCGTTAGGACCAAAGAGGGGCTGTTATTGCTGCTGCAACTCTCAAGAGATCCCAGTAGGAAAAACCGGGGCACGTTACATCTCATCAAGACTGTCTTTTACTGTGGCTCTTACCTCTGGCCTAGGATTCCACAGTCGTACAACTGGGTCAATGCCGCTGGTAGCCAGGAAGCAGTAACTGGGATGAGGCTGGAGACAATTCACAATCGACTCGTCTCCCTGCAGCACTCTAACAAGGTTGGTGGTTTCTTTCTCCCAGATGAAGAAGGAGCCGTCATCTGACCCACTGACTATGTACTGTGCATTGCTAGGGTGAGAGGAGCAGAGACTGGAGATCACAGCTCAGAGCCAAAGCTAGTCTCTAGCAGACATGAGAATCTCAGTTGGCTTCTACAATCAGCAGGCTGCCACCCCTCACGCTTATGGATCCAGATAAAGCTTTCTGTGTTGGTGCCCTCCATCCCCAGGATTCATGTTTTCAATCCCAAATGGCTTTTCTGAAATGCTAGCCCAACT